AGTGGCCAAGGAACTGGTTCGAAGTCTCACAGCTAGGAAGTAGGTTGGGAAGCCAGGCATTCTACCCCGGAGCCTGAGCTCTTGCCCTCTGCACCTGAAGAGCCTAATACAGTAGCCACTAAACTCATGAGACTAGAGATCTTCCCTGACTTACGGGGTTACAACCCGACAAACCCACTGTAAATGGGAAATATTACGAGTTGAAAATGCATTTAATACACCTAACCTCCTGAATATCATAGCTCAGGGTGGGTTCAGAACACTTACATTAGCCTACAATTGGGTGAAATCATTTAACACAAAGCCTATCTTATAATAAAGTGTTGACCATCTCATGTAATCTATTGAATACTGAAGGTGAGAAACAGAATGGTTGTATGGGGAAGAATCATTGTAAGTGTATGGGCTGTTTGCCCTCGCGATCACGTGGCTGACTGGGAGCTGTGACTGCCACTGCCCAGCATCATTAGAGAATATTCTACTGCTTCTTGCTAGCCTGGGGGAAAGATCCAAATTCAAAATTCCAAGTACAGTTTCTCCTGAATGCGTGTCACTTTTGCACCACCATAAAGTCAAAAAATCGTAAGTTGAACCATCATCAGTCAGGGGCTTCTGCGTTTAACTTTGCACTAAAATTCAATACAGCTAAAAACTCAGTTCCTCGGCTGTATCAGCCACCTTTCAAGGGCTCGATAGTCACACGTGGCTAGGGGCTACCATATTGAACATTTCCATCGTGGCAGAAAGTTCTTTTGGACAATGCCAGTCTACAAATTACTGCCTCTGAAGAATCAAGAGGGAGCAATGGAAAATCATTCTTCAGTTGATAGACTAAAACAATAATTAACAGTATGATAATAATGGCTATAATTTACTGAGAGCTTCCTACGTGCCAGGCGCAGTGCCAAGTTCGTAATCTTTACCCAATCCCAGGCTCAGGAAGGTTACCCAGGGTCAGAGTAGTCAGGAAGTGAATTGAATCCAGGTCTGGGTGACCAGAGGCTGGTCCTTTCACCCCCTCCTGGTCCACCCCCTGCTGTGTCCCCAGGAGTTTATAGTCCCTGGGGAAAAGAGAGGCGGGCAAATGCATGCATTTCACAAGACCAGGGATTAAATAAATCGGCGCTTAATTAACAACATCACGTTTCTGCAAGCCCACTGACCAGAACATTGCACTAATGAGGTCAAGGTCTTGATTTTGAGTCCTGTGAACATCACTTCACTTCACACAGAGAGAGGCTCATTCCCTGCCCTAACGGCTGCATCCTGCCCCCAGATATTGTGATTAGAAGGCTGGGAGAATGTGGCTGTTTCAGCAGGGCCCAGCCCAGGGCAATTTGCTTCAGGCAGGGCGGGGCTGGAGAAGAGGGGTGTTAAATGCTGGCGGGTGCATGTCTTCTGGACAATAAATGGGATGGGAATGTCTTCCACTTCTGGAAAGGATGAGGTTAGCAGAAAGCAAGTTCTGAATGTGGAAAAAAAAAAAAAAGTTGTAGAAGAATAAAAAAAAGTTCTTCGGAGTCTTTCCCCCCCGGAGGCAACTGGGGGGGGGGGCTATGCAGTTTATAGGGACTTTTGAAGGCTTGAGGGTGGGGAGAGCTACCTTAGTATCCCACAAGGATTGTTCTATTGTTGGGAAATTTAGCTCCAGTGATATGTCAACTCCCATGTGTCCTCTGGGGAGATAAGGCCCGGTGAATGGCAAGACCAGGCAGTTGAGCAGAGAGCTGGACCTTCGGGACAGGGCTGAGATAATGACGGTTCAGTGCCTACAGGGGGCCAGATGTGTGGTAGGTCTCAGGAGATGTTAGTTCATTCAGATGATCTCTCTCCTTTAAGCAACATTTCCCCGGGGCCAGCACACCACCAGGTTTGGGGGACTCTGATTATGTAAGCCTTATGCCAAAAGCATGACCCGGTGACTGGCTGTGAGAGTTAGGGTAGGCCAGGCTGTGCTGCAGTAAGAGATGAACCCGTGAATCTCAGCGGATCCACGCCACCAAGGTTTCTGTCTTGCTCACACACTTTATTAGCCCAGGCAGATTGGCTGGGGCTCTGCTCCACATAGTCAGTTAGGGACCCCAGACGTTGGATATATCAAATTTCAACACGTGATTTCCATGGTTGTGCCCGCAGGGACAGAAAAGAACAGGAGAGCTATGTACTGGCTCTCTAATGCTTCAGCTCAGAAATGACAGACAACATCTCCATTCACAGCCTACTGGCCAGGACTACTCTTGTATTCCCACCTGATAGTGAGGGGGCTGGGGAGTGGCGGGAAGCACATGGGCCTGTGGTGAGTAATAGCTGCCTCTACCACCCTACCACTCTCCCTCTCAAGATCCCATTTTCCTCTCCTATAAAAGAACTCTGAAGGGTCTTTTAGCTCTGGGGTTCCAGGTCTCCATGGAATGTTATTCCACAAACATTTCTTAGGTGTCCTACCAAAATGTGGACGGTGCTCAGTTGAGTTTGACCCTCCTCTCTCAGAGGTGGATTTGATTTGTTTTAAAACAATCAAAAGTTATTTGATGACCCAATTTAAAAATGGACAAAAGACCTGAATAGACAGCACATCGAAGAAGAGAGATATCTAAATATATGAAATAGACATGAAAAGAAGCTCAATGTCATTTGTCATTAGGGAAATGCAAATTAAAACAATACCAAGAAATCACAGCATACCTAATCAAATGGCTAAAATAAAAAAAAAAAAATTTTGACAATATCAGTTGCTAGCAAGGATGTGGAGCAACAGGAACTCTCATTCATCACTGACAGAAATGCAAAATGGTACAGACGCTTTGGAAAAGAGTTTGGCAGTTTCTTATAAAACAAAAATACTCTTACCATATGATCCAACCATTGCACTTCTAGGTGTTTCCTCAACTGATTTTACAACTTAGATCCACACAAAAACCAGCCCATAAGTATTTATAGAAGCAATTTATTCAGAATTAACAAAAATATCATTGCCAAAGTAACCAAGATGTCATTTAATGGGTGACTAGATAAGCCATGGACTGACTGACTCAGTTTAATAGTATTTAGCAATAAAAAGAAATGAGCTATCAAGCCACACAAAGACATGGATGAATCTTAAATGAGTATTGCTGAGTGAAAGAAGCCAGTCTGAAAAAGCTACACACTGTATGATTCCGTTATATGACATTCTGGAAAAGGCTAAACTATAGAGATGGTAAACTGATCAGGGGTGGGGGGGAGAGTTGAATTGATGAAGCACAAGAAGTATTTCAGGATAGTAGGACTATCTGTGTGATACCGAAATGGTGAATACATGACACAGTGATTGTCAAAACCCCCAGAACTTAACAGTACAAAGAGTGAGCCTCAATCTATGCACATTAAAAAACAAACAAACAAAACACTTAGGAGATTGGGAGGTCATAGGACAGAATGTAGAACATGATCAAAGAATCTAACTGTTTTACAAAAATTTAAAACCACCTCACTGAAGGGAATGGGAAGAAAGATGCTAAGTCACTCTGGAAATCAGTGGAGTCTGTAAAAGCAAAGACAAAGGAACAGCACGTAAGCACTGTACTCTAGTTGATCAGGTTGTTTCCCATAGAAATATGGGTTAACCATCTGAAATAATATACATGTATACTGGAGTTGAGCAATTAAGGAAACGGATAGCAGATGGTGGGAGCCAGGTTTCTTGCTGTTGGAATGAAAGGTTACAGACAAGTTAAGGGGAGAAGGCTAGAATGATCATGTGGTAATAGAGTTGGGGCCATGTATAGCTTAATATAGATACAGATGGTTACATAAGCAATACTAATAGAAATGTATATATACATGGGTTAGTATAAACACATATATTTCCTTTCTTTGTCAACTGGGAGGGTCTATAAGCAACTCTACCCCAATACCGATAAGCACACCTAGCACTCAGATCTTGGTTTCTATACCCCAGGGCTCCTTGGAGTAAAGGCTGATTCTGGGACTGAGGCAGGAAATATACAAGATAAGCCCAGAGTATCTCGTAGTGTCAGAAAGTAAGGAAATGCTCAAAAAACCCCAAAGGAGCCAACTAAAAGGACTCCCAGTGGCCAAAGATGGAACAATTTGAGAAATGAAATAAAGTATTTTGGATTATAACCTGAAGTATAAAATAAATTTCCATGAGTCCATATTGATATAAATAAATGATTGAATAAATAAATGGGAACGAGGAGACAAATCTCCAATGCAGAACTGAATTCCAAATAATTATGTAGATGTTTCACTCTCAAGGAGGGAGAACATAGCTCCTCAGCCCTTCTGTGTAAGCTCTGCATAGTGACTGCCTTCCAAAGAGAACAGTATGGAAAGAGCTGGGGCAGGAGGCGGGGTTGGGGGGGGATGGAGGGGGGTGGGGGAGAGTATCTTTAAAGTGGAGAAAACTGGCAAACACCACCTCAGCCAGATGATCAGGTCAATATCCACAGCAATAAATTATGTTGGTGATTTGTACCCTTGATATGATGTGAGGAAAATGGTACTTTATCTCTGTATTCTTCCTTCATAAACTCCTAACTCAAGCCCAGTCATGAGAAAAGCACCAGACAAGTCCTAACCGAGGACATTCTACAGAAATACCTGACCAGTACTCCTCAAAACTGTCAAGGTCATCCGAAACAAGGAAATGAGGAACTGGCACAGCTAGGAGGAGCTTACGGAGGCAGGACAACTGGATGTAACGCGGTACCCGGGGCGGGGTCCTGGAACAGGAGAACGATATGAGTAAATCTGAAAAAAGTACGGACCTGAGTTAATAATGTCTCAGTATGAGTTCGTTAATGATAACAAATATACCATACTAATTAAGATGTCTACGATAGCGGAACATGGGTGTGGAGTATACGGGAACTCTGTATTATCTTTGCCATTTTTCTCTAAGTCTAAAAGTATTCTAAAGCGCAGAGTTTCTTTTAAAAATGTTACTTGAAATCAAGTTCAAAGAATAATTGGATTAAATTGGGTAAAGAAAAAAGTTTGATTCTGATGTGATGAGTTTAATTGACTTTAAAAGTACGTGTGAGTGAATCAAACCACAGGAAGCTGGGCAAGAACGCTCTAGAGGCAGGGGATGCTTCAGGGTGGAATCATCACAGTTGAAGCCACTGGAAGGAAGGGGCCCACGGCACTGGGATAGGGCAGAGACAAAGATTTGCTTTCCGACCGTTTCCACGTTGTACCTGTTGATAGAAATAAATAAAATGTAAATCAAAAACAAGAACAAAAATGTACCAAATGAGCAGCATGATCAGAGTAACTACTCTCTTCTGAGGTAAACTTTTTGAAGGATAACCTCACTGGCTTACTCAAACCCCACCGGAACCCTTTCTGACCCCACCTAACAGAGAACGGGTTGCTCCTCGTTCCCTGGGCGTGCGGGCGGGCGGGCAAGGTGGTGCAGGAGACCGAGCTTGGCCAGCAGACCCCCGGCCCACTTGCCGGCTGTGTGACCTGGGAGAGTAGCCAGCCTCTCTCAGCCTCTGATTCCTCCTCGCTGATGCGGGGCCAGAAATCCCCACCTACCCAGTGGTGGTGGTTGCGGGGGGGAATCGGAGGGCATGTATGTGAGCTAACAAGGCCTTCAGTGAATGCTGGCGACTACTAGCGGAAGAGCTGGAGGACAAGTAGATTAATCCACATGGACTGGATTGGGTTGTGTAGACTATGGGAGAAAAGAAGGCCTTGTTGACTGGGCCGGAAGGGTTGAGGGGTGCGCTCCTGGTACAGGAGTGGCAGGAGAGAGCACAGAAAGCAGATGGAGGGGCAGCCCCAACATCAGGGGAGGAAGAGGCCTCAGGGGCCAGGGAGGAGGCTCTGAGGTGGGCCGGGCCTCCACACCCTGGTGGTAAATCCCTCTAACGTTTGTCAGCCTCAGTGACCTCTTTAGTGACCCTGGTAACTTTTAAACCAAGAAAAAAGGGAATCGATGGTTCATCTGGAGAAAAAACATGGACCAAGACTAGAGCCAGAAAAGGGCCCCTGCTCTGAATGAATCTAAGGAACAACTCAGGGATATTTCTGCTGGGAAGGCCTGAAGGGACAGCCTGTTCCCTGAGTCTGTCAGAGGCCTTGAGCCTCAGGTGGTCCAGTCTACCCTTCAAATAGGGAGGGGCTCCCCCATTCTGAGGAACAGAACTGTGCCTCCACTCCTAGAGTGGGCAAGAGCAAAGGAGGGCGCTGAGGACAGGAGCTGGGTCTCCACCTTCAGACTGGCGGAGGCAGTCTGAGGGCAGGGGCTGGTTCTCTCCCACACGCTGGGGGCTCCTCGGGAGCAGGGCTGAGTCTTCTTCCTCAGAATCCTGCATGGAGATCCGCCCCAGTGCATTCTGGGGTTGGGGGGCAAAAGCTCCTTCTTCCTTGAAACAGTGCCCTCCACAAAGCAGGTCAAAGGGCCAGGGCTAAAAGAAAACAAGGAGGAGATTTTTGTTGTTCTGCTACTTTCCATAATTTCAAAACACGTTTTCCCTGGCCTGTGAGAAGTTGCCTCCCTTGGGTCATGCCAGGCCCTTGGTTGGGTAGCAGCCGGAAAGCGCCAAGGACCTGGTTCTTGCCAAAACAAATCCCTCTCCCGACCGTCATGGCCTGCAGAGCTGGGGCAGGCCCACCCAGCCCCGCATGGCAGGGTGTTCCCGGGGCCGCCAGGCTGAGGCCATGGCAAATAGTTTAACCGTGTTTATGTAGCAGTAATACGCATGTTACCTCTCACAGCAACCGCAGTCCAAAGGGCAATTGCGGGTGATTTACCTCGTCCCTAGCGGCCACCAGTCCCCACAGTGGGTGGGTGGCCTCTGGGGCCCAGCTCCACTGTCCCAAGAGGGCTGTTTTTTAAAAAAGCTGCCCCTACCTTGCCGTGCCCCACCATGTGTGCGTGTTCTCAATCTGGGGATTCCTCAGCAACTTCCCCAGGGGCTTCTGTGGAGTCTGACGGGAACTGTCAGGGGCCATACCCTCCCCTCTTCTCGCCTCTCAGGCCAGAGCGGCCAGGGTTTGGAGCTTGCCCATCACGTTCATGGAGATGGATGGATACAGGCCCCAACCCCGTCTCCGTACTAGCCCTGGCGCCCGATGCAGTGGCAGCCCCCAGCCAGGGTACTAATAACAACTCACATTTGTCGAACCCTTACTAGGTACCAAGCCCCAATTTCCATGCCTTGTAGCTTATGAAGGAGGTGCTGTTGTGAGCCCCTCTTACAGACAATAAAACTGAGGCGAGGAGAGTTTATGTAACTTGCCCAAAGACACACAGTGAGTGAGGGGCAGAGTCTGGGAGCCTGAACTCCCAGCCACCACACTTCTCCCCCTGTCCCAGGCCGTGAGCAAGCCTGGCTCCTGGAAGCGGCGGGGTGACTGGCTCAGAGATGAAGTCCAAGCGGCAAAGGATGGCCCCTGTGCGTGCCGGTACTCACCAAGTGGGCACGGGTGCCTCCCACACAGAACGTGCACAGTGTCCCCCGCCATGTGCGCACACCCCGTATGTGGGCATATTATCTGTACCCACAACCAGACCTGCATACTTCCCCTAGATCCAGGTCTAGAGCTTCACCCTCTATATGCGAGTTCACCCTCTATACGCGAGTTCACCCTGTACACGTGTGTTCCTCACACATGCATTCCCACAAGGACACTCACATGCACAGGTGTGCATATAACGCTTGTGTGCTGGGAGTATGTTCTGCCACTTTGTTCACCAAGAGCATACTTCCTTTCTTTGACCTTTGAGCTAAGTGTCAGCCCTAAGACAAACGGCAGGAGTTGATGTCCTCTTACCTCATGTGTTTGCTCAACCAATATTTCCTGAGGACCCACTGTGTGAGGAACCTTATGCTGGGGACCGTGGTGGCAGGCGCAACCAGGGGCTCAGCCCAGTCCTGCACCTTACACAGGGTAGAGGCGGGCCAGGAGCCTGTGGACATGGTCATCCCTGTTGCCAAGGGTCAGCCTAGGGGGATGCAGGCTCAAGGTAGGCTCTGTGCTCCCCTCTGGTGACAGCATACCTGCCTCCGGAGGCCCAGCTACCTGCCAAGTTCTGGGCACCCACAGACCTTGAGCTTTCCTGCAGGCTTGAGGTCTGTGGGTAGCCCAGCTGTGGACTCTGGATATGTCTGGCAGGGCCCAGAACCTCTCCCCAACATCCTCAGAGTGGAAGCAGCAGCAAAGAATCTCTGAGCAGCCAGGTGGGTATGAGTCACCAAGCAGGCCCAGCACTGCCCACCTGCCTGCCTGCCTGCTTGCCTGCCATCGCAGCAGTGTGCTGGCCTGGCCTTGTCCACACGGCTTCCAAAAAAGTCCACAGCATGAGCCTTCCCGAGGCCTGGTCCTTCTGTCAGCCCTGCCGTACCCTGCCCTGTACTGTGGGTTGCGCGGGCCCCACTCGGCCATGAGGGGCCAGACCTTTCACATGGTGTCTACTACCAAGTGCCTTGCCAAGAAGAACCAGGAGCTGGGAGGCCGGCAAACAGCCTACTGGCCTGGACTGGCCTCTTGAATATGCAACCCGAAGGGCCCACGCGTAAGAGGGCCCCGAGGTTGGCTTACAGCGCTGCTGCTGCCATCTTGAAATTCCTAATAGTTTTGAACAAGGGCCTGGCAAACTGTATAGGCCGCCCTGCCACTGGCTGAGGCCTTCTGTGGGTGAGCCTGGCAGGGCCCTGCCCACTCCCCACCTTCCTGCTGCTCTGTGTGCCCCTCAGCCGCCCTCTGCTCCTGCTAGCCTGGCCTCCTGCCCTGGGCTGGCCCTGGCCGCTGGGATGTGGGCGGCTGTGGTTTCCCGGCGCCCACAGCGAGGCCGCAGTGTTTGAAGATGCACTTCAGTGGTGTCCTCAGACTGTGTTCCTTCTGTCGCCCAGCCTGCGGTCACCCTTGCCAGCTCCCACCCCATGGTTGTTTGCCTGCTGCCGCCCAGGCCGTAAGGAGCTGGGAAGGGGGGGCCCTCAGTCGGTAGCACACTCAGCTTCTGGTTCAGAGCCCAGGCAGAGACCGCTCAACCCCAGCCCCAACCCCATGGCCACCAGCCATTAAGCTCTCTCGACCTTGGTTGCCTTAGCTGGAAAGTGGGGATCAAGACGTTTTCCCAGTAGCATTGCTGGGAGGCTCCCCGGTGACACCCAGGGAGCACAGGTAGGAAGCCTGGCACAGAGTGGGGGCGAGGAGAGCATTTAGTTTCAGCTGCTTAGTAGCTCAGCATTTACCGAGTGCCTCTGAAAAGCCGAGCCAGCCAACGACAGGCCCCTGCTGCAGGAGCTCCCGGTCGAGGTGGGGTGCAGGTGGGCGGCCGGAGGCAGAGCTGTGAACAGCTTAGCTAGAGCGCAGACAGAATGCTGGGGTGCGAGCTGGGGAATGGAGAGGGGAAACCCAGGCCGAGCAAGAGGCTGTGACTTGCCTAGACCAGGACTCAGGAGTCTTGTGTCTTCACCTACCAGACACCCCGGGCTTACGGGCTCTGCCGTGTCTCTGGTTGCTCAGAAGGGACACCAGTCCTGCTACTCCGTAGCTGTGTGCTATGTGAGTGGGCTGTGTTCTGCGCGATCCGTCTTCGGGGCACGAGTTGAGGTCTTCTTGGTGGGTTGTGGATGTCATCTGTCCCTCTGCCCCCCTCCCTTCCGACCATCACTGAGAGCCTCCTGTGTCCCCGGCACCCGCAGAGGCTCAGTGGCCGTTCGTGGGACATACCACAGCAGCCCCCAGGGGACGACCCCAAGCCAACAGCCTGCCTTCTGCCTCCTTGGAGCAGTGATGGAGAGGCCAACGCCGCTCCGTTTATTTCCATGCCCCAGCGTCCCGGGCACGCCCGGGGGGAGTCTGAGGCTCCCCCACAGGAAAGTGATAGCCAGCTGCGGGGTCTCTGTGCGCACCATCCCTTCCAACACTCAGACCCTCCTCCTGCCCATGCCTTGAGGCCACCCTGTCTTGCAGGGGCCCAGCAGGCCCTGAACAGGGTTTGGCGAGGACAGGTCTGCCACGTGAAATGGCTAATTGAAAGCAGAGAGTTTAAATGAGGGCCCAGTGATAAAGGGAGAACCTGGAGGCCACTAAAGGGAGTTTGGGCAGGACCGTGGCCCGGCTGGCCTCATCTTTAGCAGCTCACTCAGCTCGGGTGCGGAGAGGGGCTGTGGGAGCCATGGCAGACACGAAGGAGCCACAATAGTCCAGACACCTGCCTATGGGGGCCTGAACTCTCTGGATGGGTGGGGAGCCCCCCAGAGAGGTTTGGAGCTAGAGCTTTGCCCTCCTGCTGGCTGCACACCCACGGCCTGGGAGCATCCATCCTTCCCTCGGTGGGCTCCTGGTCCAGCCTGTGCTCCTCAGGGTGTGGAACTGTTCAGCCTGGGAATCAGGCAGTTGAGTCCCAGGTCTGCCCCAGGCTGCAGAATAGATGAGGGTTTTGTTTTGTTGGTTTTTTTTTTATTAGCTGTCCCTTGTTAACTCATAATTGCAATCATGTAACATTTAATAGAGACACAAAGTGATCCCCATCGCTGCCCCACAATCATTCATTAGCTAACAAGATGGAGTGGCTCATAAAAAAGGGCCCTTAAAAAAATTCTGGAGAAATGGAAAGCAGGAGGTGATGCAAGCCTTGGTTAACAAAGGCTGAGGGCCGGGAGGCGTGAGCGGGTGTGAGCAGAATAACCCAGCCCTGATAAGCCACAAAGCAGAGCTGGCTGCTCCCTCCTCCCTCTGCAGCCTGAGTCACAGAAGCCGGGGATGTGTTCAAAATCGAGCAATGTAATTAGCAGGTTGCATCATGCCCCTCGATTATAAATTACAACGGGCACGAAGAGGGAGGATGGAGGAGCAGGGATTATAGGGGTAACCCAATCCTGGTGCCCAGGAGGGGGGTGGGGGAGGCCGGGAGCTACCGCCCAGCCACTCAGGGACCCCAGTAGCCTCTGCCTACCCTGTCACGGGGCAGCGACAAGGCCTGCTCAAAGCCTGCTTTGTGTGGCCTGGGATAATGATTTACAAACTTGAGGAATCAGGAGGTGCGAAAAGAAGAGGACCCTCTTAACCCAGCCATTGTCTACCCCCTGCTGGAATGCCCAGCATGCCGTGCGCCCGTGCACCTGTGCACACGGATGCTGTTTGAGGATGGCCCAGGTGAGGAGCCCTCAGAGGGGCTGGGTCGATAAGATCTAAAGGGGCTGAGCAGGGGGTTTGGAGACACCGTCAGGGATGGCTGAGACTCAGCAAACAGAGAGGGGCTGCAGCGATCCGCTGAGGCTTCCCTCCGTGGATGAGTGGGGGCCGGGGGGCAGGGATGGAACTCAGAGCCAGCCCTGTTCTAGGGGTCAGGGACCTAGATCAAGCCCAGGCTTTCTGCCAGCAGGCTGTGGGGACCCAGACAAGCCATTTCTCCTCTCCGAGCCTATTTCCCCGCCCCCACTACAATCCATCAGCCGGCCATTGGACCAGGGCAAGGCATTTCCTGTCTCTGTGCCTCAGTTTCCCTACCAGGCCTTGCCAGAACTGGCCATGTGACCTGAAACAAGCTCACCTCTGTGTAAATGGGGACCTCAGTTTCCCCATTTACAAAACAGTGGTGACCGAGACCATCTTTCAAGTCTAGCTTGAAGGATTCTTCGGGTCTAGGGTGAACTTTTTGTCTAAAAGCTAACCAGTTAGCCAGTGAACCCGCACCTTGGAGACCAGGGAGACGGGGCCGGGCAGCTTGGCCACCTGGCCACCTGTGTGAATCAGAGCCGAGGGAGGCAGAGCGAAGTCAGAGCCCAGGCACGCAGCAGGCTCGGGCAGAGTGGGGCCCTGGTGGCACGGCTCCCCCGGAGCCCGGGGAGACACACCCTTCACTTCCTCCTGGTGGCAAAGAGCTGGCCTTTCGCTCTGGCCTTTGCAAACAGCCTTCACGCCACAACATTTTCCTAGCAGCCCTATTCTTGGGTATAGGAAATAATCCCATTAACTTTATTATCTCTGCAGAGGAAGCACAAGGGTATAGATTTGCCCTTAAGCTCAATGCATGTGCTCTCTCTTAAAAGGAAAACCACAGAGTTGGGGCAACTTGCTCTGAAGAAGACCTGGCCCCGGCCAGAGTTTTATTCTCAGGGTAGAAGAGACAGCCCAGCTACGACCAGAACGGTGGCCCTCAGCCACTCAGGGCCTCCATGTCTTCTCTCTGGGCCTCAGTTTCCTCAAATCTGAACTGACACAGAGCAACAGGTACTCCAGACAAGTAGGTGGGGGCTGGGATGGGAATCCCAGTGACCACTGCCTTTCCTCAGACGCCGGTGCCACCCCCGTGGCCTGTTGCCCAGGCCGCCAGCCTGAGCCCCCAGATCCCTTTGCCACTGTGCAGCCACAGGGCCTTGTGAAAACCTGTGACTCTGAGCACACTCCGGCCCTGCTTAAAGCCCACCCAAGTCACCCCTCCCCAGGGTCCCAGGCCTGGCACCTCCCTTCCTCTCCAGCTACTTCCTCCTCCGTGTAACCCCAGTTCTTCTGAGTGGCGGGGCCCTCCCCAGCACACCCCAGGCGACTTCCCACCTCCACGCCTCGGCACCAGCTACTCCCACCACCCAGGTTACCCTTCCCCTTGTTCAGCTGAGCAGTTTAGATTCAGCCTTTAGGAACTCTGTGTCACCCCCTCCGAGAAGCCCTCCCCCACGCGCCCCGGCTATGCTTCCCCACCTGAGCAAAGCTCTGTCTTCACAAGGGGGAGTCAGATTGAAAAGTGGTCTCTGTGCTGTGTCCTCACTAGGCCGTGAGCTCCCCTGGGGAGGAGGTGGGTGCCCCCACTCAGGTCCCTGCCTGTAGACAGTCAGTGCTCAGAAGTGTCTTCTTTGTTGAACTGCTGCCTTTTGGCACAAGGGGGAAGAAGCGGATTTAGCCTTGAGCCCCAGGCCTGTGGGGTGAAGTCTGAAACCCTTGTTCATTCATTCATTCATTCATTCATTCATTCATTTGTGTAATCTGAATACATGTTAGGAGCCAGGAATGGGGGAAGTACCAGACCAAAAATTTCGAACATTTCCCTGAAGGCACTTCCAGGCTCCCCCATGAGCCCCTGAGCCCAGGGAGAAAGCTATTCTTGAAGCTGTCCCCCAGTGTGGGCAGACCCCTGGGGGGACAGTGGCAGCAGGAGGTCTCCTGTCAGCTTAGCCCAGCAGGGCCTGCGCCTTATCGGCAGTGATCTCCTGGCTCCCTCAGTCAACAGAAGCTGGGTGTGAGGAGGTGGTGACAGAGAGGGGGCCATCTGGAGGCCTCTTCCCACCTGTCAGGAGCTCCCAGCACGTCCTCCCGTTGGTGAGGCAACCGTCCTTGTGTCTGCACCGCCTAGGCAGGTAACAACGCTGCTCCCATGTCAGGGTGACATTAGATCCCTAAGTCGTGACCTCACTCAGGCGTCTGTCCTTGGATCCTGTCTGTTTCTGAGCCGAGAGCCAAAATATGAGCGGAGACACAGCACCTGGACACCCTTCCCAGGAACGCCAAGCACAGAACAAGCATGGCGTCCCCATTTGATCAGAGAGGAGCCTGGGATTCAGAGACATGGACACACCTACCCGAGGCCACATAGCTCATGGGCGCCTACTTCGGCCTGTAAAGTACACGCTTTCTTTCTTTCCCCCCCCTTGCGGGCCTGAGCCATGCCTCATGTTTGGTCTTTACCGGGTCCAGTGTTGGTGCCGGTGTGAATGACAGTAATACCTGCCTCTATTAGACACCTATGATGCACCCAGCACAGTTTCAAGTATTTTATTTACATGCATTCAATCATATTTATTGAGCGCAGGCACTGTTCTAGATGCTGGAGATATGGCATTAAGCAAAGCATACAAAGCCCTGAGGAAGCTCACATTCTCGTGGGAGAAGCAGAATAAGCCAAGAAGTGAATAAACAGAAAATAATCTAGGTGGTAAAAAGCAAATTGGGAGAAGGGCTGGTCAGCAGAGGCCTTGGATTTGGTGACTTTTGAGCAAACCCCTGAAGATGTTGAGAGAGGGAGCATGGGACTCCCTGGGGGACAAAAGTGCTGGGCAGAGAGGACAGTAAGTACAAAGGCCCTGGGGCAGGAACAGGCGTGGTGTGTTCAAGGAACAGCTAGGAGGCTGCTGCAGTTGGAGCAGAGTGAGGGAAGTGCAGGGCGAAGGAGGTGAGGTATTGTGTCGCTGTGTGTTAACTCATTTAGTATCACGACAATGCTCAGCACTGGGTACTATTGTTATTCCCTTTAGTTGATGAGGAACCTGAGGTACAGAGAAGGAAAGTAATCTGTCCAAAGTCACACAGCAGGCATGTAGCTCCGTCCTGATGATTTATGAATATGCTTCATGGCCCAGAGCACTGGTTCCCAGTCCCGGGGATGAAGGCGAATCACCCAGGGAGCTCAGGAAGAATCCAGATCATCAGTATCCTAATTTCAACAAAGCTGCCCAGGTGATTCTCATGGAATCTTCACGAGCCCAGCTTTGGTGAGCCACTGGGCAATGGCTGTGGGCAGGCTGGAGCAGAAGAGTGAACGCCCGGCCTGGAGCCTGACCTTAGTGCGTCTCTAATCTCTGAGTGGCTGCAGTCTCTGAACCTCAGTCTCTTCATCTGTGAAATGGGAAGGCTGAACTCCATCAGTGAATTCCCCACACTTTTTAGCGGTGGAATTCTCCCTCAGTCAGGCCTTGGGGGGAGCCTGAGATGCAAAACAGGTCAGAGGAGCTTTATTGGGGGTGGGGTTCAGCCCTTGGGCAACCTCTAAAGAATGATTTATCCGGAAAGCATAGGCACATGGTCAGATAGCGTCGAGTTCCAGATATCCATGCTGGTTCCTCTTCCCAAAGCCGTGTCCCCTGGGATGGGCCCCAGTCCCCGGCGTGGTTTCTGTAAATCCTGTTTCGGGAGCACTCCAAGGAGCTCACTCCAAACCCTGGCTCCAAGTCCTGGGGAGGTCTGCGTGCAGATAAGAGGGTAGGGGGTGGGTAGAGAGGGACCTGGGGCTGGACACCAGCCTCTTTCAGCTTGCCAGTTTCCTCTGCCTGCTTGACGTCCTTGCAGGGGAGGGGGGGTGGGACGTGGCATGTCCTAAATGCTTGGGGGTGATCCTTGGACCAGTGTTGGGGACAGTACAGCAGGTGGCAGCCATCCAGCTCATGGGGGCAGGAATTTGCTTCTACACAAGCTGGGCCTCTGGCGTCTGGGATTTGCCCTCCTTCCTTGCCTTGGGATAGCAAGAACGCCTCCACCAGAGCAGGCCCTTGGCATTGGCCCAGTCCTTCCCGAGACTGCATCCTAAGGCGCCCATTTCACAGATGAGGGAAATGAGGCTCGGAGAGATCTGCATGGAATCACGTGGTTTACAGATATGGTGAGACCAATCCTCGGACCTCAAACCAAGAGCTTCACCTGCTAGAGCCAGAGTCCTCTTGGACAGGGGGAGACATGCCCTGCAGAAGACAGACAGATCCCTGACCTGACAGAACCTGCACCCTAGAGGAGGACAACCTCAGGTTGAAGTCCTTCTATTCATTCCTTCAATATCCAGCACAGTTACCTGCACCCAGCAGGTGCTAAATAATTATTTGTGATACGCTTGCTTCGGAGTTAGAAGGGAAAGGGGTTTCCTATCTGAGATGCCTTGGGCGCTCTTTGGAGTTTTAGCCTCCTCATCCGTAGGATGGGATAATAAATACCGTTACCTCCCTGGCCTGGTTGAGAATAGGAAGCGGGTGTTGGAAATGGAGAAAACTCATGCAGGCACCTGCTACGTGCTGTGCTTCACGTCCGGTCCTTATGATAATACTGCATGATAGAAACGACTCTCCCCATTTAATGGAGAAGGATCCCGAAGGTTGGAGAACCAAACCTAGATCTCTCACCAAAGCTCATGTTCTTCCCGCTGCATCTGGCTGCCTCCCTATTATTGTCCTGGCACCCGGCGTGCGGTTTTGCTTTGTTTTGATTTGACTTGAAGTCCCCAAGTGAGACAGAGCAAGACTGAAATGAAGCCTGCCGAGCCCCTCCCTTCCAGCGGCAAATAGCCAGGGGCCCCGGGAGGAAAGGCCTGGATTTGTAACTCTGGGTGCAGAGACCCGTCTCTCTGGAAATGACACGGATTCCTCAGCTTTTCCTCTATGTGTGTGGGGTGGGGAGAGGAGATAGTCCACGGGGTCCTCCTCCCCCCAGGCTAGATGCTGGCCGCTTTTGAGGGCCTCATCGGGATCCACGTTGAGGGCCTGGCTGTCAGCTCAAGAGTCTGAGAACCTCTGCCCTTCCCGACACAGCCATATGGGTGCTCTGGCCACCCACACAGGGCTGTGGCCTTGGGCAGACAGAAGTCCAGGAGTCAAGAGGCTGGGCTTGATGGGAGGACAGCTGGCTCCTGTGGGGAGACCTTCCTGAGCCCCCAGCGTGAGTCGCCTCAGTCCTGGCAAGGGAAGGGGCCCAAGGGTAGGCCCAAGCTGCTCCTAGGACCACCCCATGAGACAGAGGCTACTGAGCCCCTGAGAGTGCTGTGGGGCCAAGGGGGGTAGTATTTTCTCAGCAGGATTTATGTGTGTGTGCATGTGTGTGCGTGTGTGTGAGTGAGTGTTTAACAAGGAGTGGGGCCTGCTTGACTTCTGAGCCTGGAATTTATACAACCCCTCGATGGCGGCTGCAGTTTATCTTGACCAAAAGAATAATAAACTCGGTTGACAGGATGATGTATTCAAAGCATCTTCCCGTCACAGCACAGAGCCCCCCAGCCCGCTGTTAGGATGTCTGGCGTGGTGGGGACCGTGTTATCGAGTGTTTAGCCCCCGTGGATTGTCAACAACGCATTGTTTGCAGGTTTGGGGCAAGGCGGAGATGGGCCGGGCTGGGGTGGGAATGGGGGTGTCTGGCCACACAGGCGGGTGAAAGGCTGGCCGCCCAGATGGGGTCAAAGAGGCGTCTGCCTTTGATGGGAGCTCGGAGGCCCAACCCCTCCTCCCTGCCCTGATGTTCCCTTTTCTGCCTCAGAGAGAGTCCTCCTCACTGACCTCCACACAGGTCCCAGCCCAGCTCTAGACATAAAGGGACACACTCAGGCCCCACCATACTCCGGGTGCTGGGAAAACTTCCTCCACCCTCCGCTTCCCGTTATTTCCTTAAACAAATGAAAAAAATCAGCCTTAAACCTCAGCTTCAAAAAACACCCTGGAAAGGGCAAGGGAAAGCCAATAATCTGGGCTCACTCATGAGAGAGATCTCAGCCCAGTTCCCTGACCCTCCGCCGGTCAAACTTGGGCCCGTCCTGTGAGCTCTCAGAACCTTTTTCCCTCCCTGTGGGACAGGGGAATCATGATGCTTGTCCCACCTATTTCACAAACTACAGTAGCCCCCCTCATCCACGGGGGATTTGTTTCAAGACCCCCAGTGGATGCCTCACACGGTGGAGAGTATCAAACCCTATATAGCATGTTTTTTTCCTACGCATACATACCTATGATAAAGTTTAACTTACAAATTAGGCACAGCAAAAGATTAACAACAACTGCTAATAAAATAGAAAAATGACAACGTCAGAATGTAATAAAAGGTATGTGCATGTGGCCTCTCTCTCCAAATATCTTTTACTGGCTGTACTCACCTTCTTCCTGAGCCGAGGTGAGATGATAAAGGCCCACGTGATGAGACGAGATGAGGGGTATGACACAGGCATTGTGACACGGCGTTAGGCTGCTTTCGACATTCTAATGATGTCAGAAGGAGGCTCATCTGCCTCCAGACCGAGGTTGACCGTGGGTAACCGAAACCGTGAAAAGCGAAACCGTGGATAAGGGGGGGACCTGCTGTACACGGTTACCATGTATTCAGCGCTTATGATGGGGATGAACTAAGATAAGGATTAGGCAAACATTTGATAGCTTGGAAGCAGAAGATAAATTCAAATTATTTTTTTTTCTCAAGGACCCTTAAACTTCAGGCAGGGGAGCCCTGGCTTCTGCCTCTGACAACATGCTTCTCCCTCCACCTCCCTTATGGGAAGTCCTTTCTCGTACCTAACCTCAAGCTCGCTCTTGGTTCAGTTTTAGCCGTTGCTTTGGAATGCTTCACACAGAGGTTCCAGTTCCCCTTCTCTCTTAGGGTGTCTTTTCTGGTTTAATGGTCCCAGTTCCTTCCCTACTCCTGGTGGGGAGGCTCCACTAGAACCAGCTCTGGGACTCCCCTTCCTACAGAAGTGAGCCCTTTGCTCCTGCTCCCCAAAAGCAGGGGGGGGTTCTCCTAGGCAGACAGCAAGCCCCACAGGGGGCTAACAGGGGCAGTGGCAGGCGCAGGGAGAGAAGGGAAGACCCACGGACAGAATGCTTAAGCAAGCAGTCGGCTCCATTTCAGGAGTCAGTGTGGAGCTTCGGTTAAGCCTCTTAATGGCCAATATTATCCCTATTTTACAGATGTGAAAACTGAGGCTGGAGAAGATTCAGTGTCTTGCCCCTTGGCAGATGGCAGCAAGCAGACAGACTTAAGTCCAGAAAGTCTAGCTGGCTCCAGAGCTGCACTTGACCTAGCAACTTCAAAGAAGGAAGGAGAAAGCCACCCAGAGGCTGTGGGGCTCTGGGCCAAACAGCTGGTTGGGGTAATGGGGTGATGGGGGGCGTCAAGGCCACAGGAAGAACCGTGGGGGGATCAAGGCTGTGGGAGGGTGGTATAGGAGCGAAGGTCTGCAGGCTGGAGTAGGCCCCAGGGGAGAAGTCGGAGAGGAGCTCAGATCTGAGCACAGGACACATGTGTGTGCTCGGTCACCTAGGCTGGGGACAGTAACACTGTGCAGCAGGCATCAGTATCTTCAGACGTCCGACAGGACTCAGTCATTTATTCACTCGCTTATTCATTCACTTGCTCATCCCTTCACTTCATCCTTTATTTGCCCACGAGTCAAGACCCTGGGGATCTAACAGGACAGAGACCTGTCAGCAGGTCCCCATGCACCCATCTATCTGTCCCACGTGTCGTGAGTGCCTATTACGTGCCAAGCCCTGAGTTCTACGGCCAAGCGAGCCCGTCCTCACCCTCCAGGCACTCAAGGACCTGCGAGGGGGGAGAGGCAAGCAGGCAGACACTTATAAACCACATGATTGTGTGTTCATTGAGTCGATCAACATTTGAGAGCCCTCCATGGAAGATGCCAGGACCAGAACGATGACCAGGACACCCTCCTGCCCGTGGTGAGCGCAGGCTGGTTGAGGAGGTGAGGAAAGAGCACAGACGTTTCAGCCCCCATACACAAGCAGCTGTGAGAAATACCAAGCAGCAGAAGGGGAGCACAAGGGTTCCCGGAGGGAAGTGACCGTGCATTTGAATTTGTGTTTGTGCATTCATTTATTCCAGGCGTCGTTTGGTATTGAGCATCTTTTGTGTGCTGGGCATGGCTGGCAACAACAGGAGGACCCACGGAGGAGGCCATCTTGCCTGGGCAGACCACTCTCTTGGCCTTTTGAGGGGGGACAGGCCAAGCTTGGGGTGGAGACTGCAGTCCCGGGAGATGGGCAGCGCAGCCCCTTCCCTGCCATGCAGAGGTGTGGACAGCGGTTAGGAGCTGGAGGGCAGTGGGCAGTGCAGCCTGGGGAAAGTAGAAGGAGGCTGTGCCCTCTGAGAGGCTCCATCTGGGCCATACCATGCTCTGCCCCAGCCCCTGAGTGACCTGGGGTCAGACCACATGACACAAGTGGACAGAGGGGATGGAGTGACAGAGTTGGGACTCTGGTAGAGCAGGCCGACCCAAGCTCTGCACAAGAGAGCTCTCTTTCAAGAGAGAGAGAGAGACTCTCACTGTCAAGACTTTCTGGAGCCCTGATTTGCACATGTCCTACCCACCTCCCCATCCTCTGGGGTAGATTTGCATGCCTATGTGCATAGTTTGCATAAAACATGCTCCTATCCATATTCATTTCAGGCATTTTGATTTATGTCATTGCTCCCCCTCCCCACAGCTGGCTGTCCCCATGCCTTTTGCTCCCCCTTCTGGAAGGGAAGACAAGGCAGGGACTGTGCCCAGCAGGCGCACAATCTCAGCGTTTCTCTGTGGCATTACCTGGGGAAGGCGGAGAGCGATTTTCCTGACAGCTAATCTGCCTGCCCAACTCTACTGTGCTCTGTCCGAAACTGCTGTGAGCTCGAAGGTCCCTGGGGACTCATAAGCTGAGCATGTCCTCGGTGCTCTTGCTGGGCCTCGGGGAGCGCCAGGCCAGAATGAGAACCGTCTGTGCACTGTCCGCCGGAGAGCAACTAATGGAGTGATGAGTGAGCGTCGCCTGGAAGTCTGGGGGCCATCCCATGTGGGTCGCCTTGGCTGGCCACGATCGGGGGGCCAGATCTGGGCTTGGGACCCCTTCCAGGGCCCCACTGCAGCCGCTGGGCCTGCAGAACACGGCCCACAGCGTCCATGCCCGTACACGGAGCAGAGCGGAAGTCTGACTGCAGTTCTGGTGTGGGCTGGGTGGTGCTAGGCAAAATCTTGCCCCTCTGCGGGCCTCAGTTTACCCTTCTGAACCTAAAAGTCTTCCAGTGTTGGCTGCTGCAGATACATGCAGGCAGCCCTGGCTCCTCACCCAAGCCCCAGAGGGGAATTCTTCTGTCACAAAAAGGCCACAGCCAACTCCCCGGCCCTGAGGCTCACACTCCCCCCCCCTGGAATCCTCCCTTTGGCCTCTAGGTCATATGAGCTCCAGCACTGGATATACTGTGACCAAGGGAGGAGCCAAGAAGCTGCTGGGAATCCAGGAAACCCCCCCCCGGCCCCCACCCACATTCCATCCCCACCATCTCCATCTTAATGAGGTCCCACTGGAGATGCTCCCCTGTCAGGGAGTGGGAATGTTTCCACCTGGGCAGAGACAGACAGGAGGCGCTGGGGGCTCTGCCTTCGGAAGCCTCCCGCCTGCCAGCCCTGCCCTCCAGCCGAGAGCTCCTGAATCGCGCCCACTGCCCCACTCCCCCCTCACACACATCCTGGGCCGTGCAGGGCTCAGCTTGTCACCGACGGGCTCTCCACTAAATGAGGTGGCTTGACTGCCCCTTATCACAGGGGCTTATCTCCTGTGGTCACTCGCCTGCCAGACTCCAGAGAGCCACTCAGCAGGCCTCTCCCAAACTCTTGCTTCTCCAGCCCCGACTCTCTCCTGCTTCAAGGGGACACTGGATTCCAGTGACCCTCCCTGTTGGTCAGTCAAGCTGGGGACAGAAAAGGGATAGAGGGAACTAAGGATACTCTTCCCCACTGCCCCTTAACCTGTCACAGCTTCACACATGTTCTCTGGGTGATACAGATTTGGGGGGCCCACCCTCCTCAATGTCTTGTCATCCTGCATCAAAAGTGAAAAACAGGTCATTATCTGTGGTGCAGTTCTTTACTCCCTCATATCAGGGGTTTCCTAGAACACAGGCTGTGTCTCCCCCTCAGACTGGGGCTCCCTGAGGGCAGGGCTGTG